GAGATATCTTTGACCTGAATTGAGTGTGATGAGATAATGGTCAGTGATCTACAACCTAGGGAAAACATCTCCATGTCTCTTGTGTCATATGAAACCAGTTGCCACTTTCTTAATACTTTGTAGACCATGAGGGAGCACAAAGCACAAACCTAAAGAGAGAAATATGATAATGGTCCTTGCTGTGGACACAATTCCCTATACACTCTAAAAAAAAAATTTTTTTTTCTTAGTAGTGCAATGCACATGTTCTTGATATATTTTACTGATCCCTCCATAGATTTTTACATAGATATTTACATTTTTAAGGGTTAATAATATTTTGAGAAAGCCATATAAGGTACTGCGTCCGCAACAAAAAATGTCATGGCAGTGACTCATTCAAGCCTTGGCTTAGTCGCACCCCATGAAGTAACTACAAAACCAGCAGAGCAAGTCAATCTACAGAAGTCCCTCCCCCAAAGCTTCACAGGCTCCTTTAAAGCATCAGCACGCAGCCTTTCTGAGACATACACCTGTAAGCAGTGCAAAGAGAGCCACCTCAAGAGAACTAACAAGAGACAAAAATCATGGTGTCTGCTGGGCTTCAGTTACTGGGCACCGCCCTGGCCATCATAGGATGGATCGGTGTCATTGTGGTCTGTGCTATTCCCATGTGGAAAGTCACAGCTTTCATTGGTAGTAACATCATCACGGCACAGACTTCATGGGAGGGAATCTGGATGAACTGCGTTGTGCAGAGCACCGGACAGATGCAGTGTAAAGTCTACGACTCCATGCTGGCCCTCTCCTCAGATCTTCAGGCCGCCCGTGCCCTCACCATCATTTCCATCGTGATTGGGATCCTGGGCATCATGCTGGCCATGGCTGGAGGCAAATGCACCAACTGCGTTGAAGACGAGAGTGCCAAATCTAAGGTCGGTATCACTGCTGGTGTGATTTTCATCATTGCTGGAGTGCTGTGTCTGATCCCAGTGTGCTGGACGGCACACGTCATCATCCAGGAATTCTACAACCCCTTGGTCCACCAAGCACAGAAGAGAGAGCTGGGAGCAGCTCTATACATGGGCTGGGGAGCCGCTGCTCTGTTGATCATCGGGGGAGGTTTGCTCTGCTGCAACTGCCCACCAAAGGAGGAAACGGGAAAATACACAGCCAAATATAATGCTCCACCTCGGTCTGCAGTTTCTGCACCATCCGGCAAGAACTTTGTGTAAATGATGAACTCTGAAATGAACTCTATAGTGCCTATAATGTTTACAGTCTTGGTTTGACCAGGATGTAGCGGCTCAAAAAGAGTTTGCAGCAGGTATCACAAGGACTTGAAAAGCAGTCAAGTAAACACTGATGCTACAAGTTTTCTAAATATTTTCTACATATAAGAAAATGAGGAAAATGGGGAACCACATTAAAAAAAACCTCTGCAGTTAAAGGAGGCTAATCTGAAATCTGTCTTATGATCAATTTTTCGTCTCAAACCATTTGTCATGTTTGATGTGTTCCCCCCCTGTTTTGTACATCATTTTTTTATCTGATATAACTTATGTCCAAAGGGGAAAATATATATATATATATTTGTATCACAACTGTCTATTAACTGTATAAAATGCTTTTGCATGGGCGTTAACAGGGTGTCATATTGCAGCCCTCCATTATGTGTCACCGACCCTGTGGCAATTAAAAGATTTCAACAGAGTCCCCGTTTACAAAACATTCTTCGAGGGAGTTGTCAAACGACAAATCCAGAACAGGTGTGGTTTTTCAGGTTCTTTTTCAGAGCCAATGCGAATAATAAGCCAAGGCTAAACATGGGCAAGTTCAAGCTCAAACCGGTGCGCAACGTTTTGCTACAGTTTCCGGGTTGAACGACATGTTTCCTGGAAACGGTGTGCAACGGTGCGCAACGGGGTTTGAAATACGTTTTCTCTTGTTTGGTGGGTGTGTCAAAAATGTCAGCCCAATCAGCAGCAACATGTATGTAAACCACGCGGTATTAAAGAGACAGCTG